AATATTTAAAGTGCGTGTGTTTTGTGCTTAATGTGCGTGAGATTGTGCTTAATGTGTGTGAGTTTTGTACTTAATGTGCGTGAGTTTGTGCTTAAGATCTAACACTTAAGGTGCATGTTTCTATCACTTATGGTGCGTCATTTTTAGCTTATTCTTCTTTCTGACATGCGTTTTTTTTTTTTTTAATTTTCATTGATTTGAGCCGTTGATCTAAATTTGATCAACAACTCAGATCTAACAGCACAATCGCACGGGAAGCTATACCCGCACCTGAACCCTTCCCTATATATATATATATATATATATATATATATATATATATATATATATATATATATATATAGGGAGCCATTCACACGCAAACACCCTTAAAATACAAACCTGTGGACAAATATTGGCCATTAAATTAGAGTAGATGAATGGATTAGATGCAAGATGACAAACTACTGCCACGATCATAATTACATATGAAAAGGGCAAATTAGACAAACAACATGAATCCTAATTAAGGCAAACCTACGATTCTGATATGCAACCTAAAATAAAGAATATTAATTCTAGTATGATTAGTTATTATGCAATACACGGCACTCCCAGTCCACCTTGACCCACGACTCCAACGGCAAATACCTTACATAGCAGGAAACTGGCGACACCACAGCAGTGCACACATGATCGAAACTAACCCCCGCGCACAGAAACACGTCATAGCGGTGCACACATGGTCAACACTTATCCCATATCAAAGTATATATATCGCGCACACAGTGAAAGTATGCCCGGGCACACATAATGGAGGGACAAAGACCGCAACCGTACAACATTATTTATATGAAGCACCCTTGTTATTAATACACCTGGTAAAATAAATTTAAAAAACAAAAACAAACCGGTAGAACGTACAATGTGCACACTTCCATTAATTTATAAATTGTGTACAATACTGCCATTAATTGGATTATATGAACACTCATTGAGTACACGGACTCATTAATCCATAGCACTCTGTATATATATATAAAAAAAAAAAAAAAAAGCACAGCAATCACCCTACGCACACGGGGAAATAAGTACGAGCACACAACTATTAGTCTACACACCAAGTTCACCCCCACCCGCGCACATATACGCCACAAAGCCGCGCACACATGATCGAAACTAAGCCCCGCGCACAAAAACACGCCACAGCAGTGCACACATGGTCAAACGTTATCCCATACCAAAGTATATATACCTCACACCGAGCGCACACAAGCCATATTGCAGTGCACATAGGAACCCACATATTCGCACAAACATTAAAGGGAGTAGTAATTAGGATAACATGCAAGAAGATAAACTAATAAGCATTGTATATAAGCAAATACGGAGTAAAAAACACAACCACGCAATAGCATATGACTGTGCGCACCACAGCGGGAGAGAACAGCGTACACAACCAAAAACAAAAACTAAGCACAATTACAACGTTTGGGTGCACACAACCCCAAAAAAGCCAAAAATGAGTAACTAAATAAGTCACAAGTCTACATAGGCGGAAGAGGAGCAGATATGGACTGGTACGCCTGAGAAAGATTACGCTGCCTGTGCACATTATGGACTGAAATCACAATTTCCGACATGTAACGCAGCCGAAGCTTGTGCAACGTAGGAGTGTCCCCCTTCAATAGACCACACTCCCAATCACGAACACGCTGGCCAACATACGATTCCATATGCCGCATGAGAAAAACCCCACAATCAATCTTATTCTTTGAATCCCGCCAAGGCATTTGCAACCGTTTTGACTCCACACAAACACATGCAGTAGATCGCGAAGGAGAAATAACTTCAAAGAATTTAGATAGCATCCCTAGCTGAAATCCAAAATACTCGACGCTCATACTATAGAAAACTGGATAAATAAATAACACAAACAGAACAAAAGCGGAGAAGGGGTACACAGAGAACAACACTAACCAAATCCTCAATATAATTGTCATAATTCAACGCCTTTGCTTTAGGATTAGAATCATTGTCAATAATCTCATAACGAAACCGGGGGAAATCAAGGCACAACAAGAAGTAGTGACCACGATGTAGAATTGGGAAAAATATTTGCACATGACAAAATAAAAAGCATTTGGGTGTGATCAAATGGTGCACCAAAATGTGAGACCAAACAAATGAACTGAACCTGTACGCACATAAAAATTGTGCACTGTGCACACCTGATATACATCAAGATACTGAATGATAATTTGAAAAATACTAAAATACTAATTCAAAAATATACATAGGGCATTACAGTATCCACACAATGCATGTATGCAAACTTGTAATACTAATAAAGTTGGTGGCTGCATATGGTGAGGACAATGTGCTAAAATAATATGCACATAATAACCAACCGGTAACCGAACCGACCGAAAAATTCGGTTTTCGGTCGGTTTCGGTTATTAATGTTATAAAAATTTCGGTTATTCGGTATTTCGGTTATTTGACGGCTATTTAGTTTCGG